ATATTTTTAGGTTTGTTTTGTGTTGTGATTGGGGCAAACTTAGATTTGATTTCTCGTGTGATGTGAAAATAAGCTCCCAATTGAGGTTTTTAAATCACTGTTCTAAAAATCGGCCTTGGCGACTGCCTAGGCAGCGCCTAGACACTAGGCGGTGCCCGGGCGCCTCCGATTTGCACAAATCGGCAGAAAAAATCGGTCAGGCGGCCCTAGACGCTCCTAGGCGGACTTGGCGGGCTCGGCGGCCAGGCAATTAGGCCACGCCTAGGCGCGAATAGACAGACCTAAGCGGGCTCGGCGGTAATTTTTCAGTTTTTTATTTTATTTTTTAAAATATTAATTCCATTATTTTGTTCTCATGTTTTCTTTAAAATATATTAATATTATTACTTAGACTTAAGTGTGTGGATTTATTATAAGTTGAGATAGTTTTATTTTGTAGCTAGTTAAAATACATAAAAGAGAAGGTATTTAATATTGATTTCTAGGTCCCGCCTAGGCGGACCAGTGCCTAACTACTTTTAAAACACTGATTTAAATTGATTTTCTGAGATGGGAGAGTGTATTTTAATTGATTTTGCAAGACATATGATTGTTTTTTTCCTTTTCTCTCTTTTTAATCCCTTTCAGTAATGTTTGATGGGTAACGATTGTTTGCTCAATAATCAATACTCTCAGTTTTGATACTGAATACATTTATAAAAGTTCCAAGTTTTAGGTTGTGGACAATACAGGTGGCACGACTACAGTTTTTCAATGTTGTCAAAATATTCTACAAATTTGCATTATCTATATCTATATAATTACTAGCTAATAGCATTTAAGAAGACCTATTTAATAAAACCTCCAAAATTTTTCCTCTATTTTCCGTTACAAAATTTATCATTAATGTTTTTTTACTTCTCACATTAATACATCATATTAAGTGTAATCATGTATTTTTCTATTATATTATATAATAATTAATGCTAATACCAACATATAATTATTCACAATAAATATAAATTACATAATTATAACCAATTGTTTTAAGTTATTTATTTTAACATCAATATTATCTTTTTCTTTTGTATCTCATGAAAAAATTTCTTCAAAAACAATTAGTGTTTTAATAGCATAGTCAAACAACTTTAGAATCTTATAAACAATTGTTTTTTAATAATAATAATAATAATAATAATAATAATCAAACTGCTATTATCTAATGATAATAAACAATTGTTCATAATAATAAACAATCATTAATTTATTTTTCTTAATTATTAAATTTTAAAAATGTAATATGTTCATTATCTAAAATTTTAATATTAAATCTCAGATATTACTTATAATATTTTATGTACATATGTGCATATGCACAAGATATTTACTAGTAGTAGTTGATTGTTGGGCATATATAGTTTTGAATTCATTGTGTACTGTGGCATGCATCATGACTTGCCAGATTGAAACATTTTTTAGGAGCTGGATTAACTTATGTTGACAAGTTCAGGGTAAAAATATGGTAAACCTTCAACAGAACTTTAAAGCTCCGTATAATAAATAAAGTTACTTGCAACAATTAACTTTGTAAATATATAAAGTTATTTTTCTAAAATTGATATTATTTTTTTATTCTAATTTTTGCAGGAATGGAAAATAATGACGTAAAAATTATGTAACTTCTTCTACATGAACAACAATATCTTCAGTATCCAGAGTACTTGAAAGAAGAAGATGAATTTTGGGATGTGATGTTTTTCAAGATATTGAAAATAAGGTGTTCGGAAAATAAGGACTCGGGAGATGGTAAACTTTCGTAATAACATTGAAATTGACTCACATTTACACTTTTAGTTTGTGATGACTTGATATTGGCCTTGTTTATATGACGATAATTTATCTACTTGATTGAGAAATATTTTTATTTTATTATTATTTATATTTTATTATATTTAAATCACTTTAATAAATATTTAAAATACTAATTATTTCTATTTCCTAAATAATTATAGGTTCAACATAAATTAAAATGATAAAATATGTTGATGTGCTTATAAGTAATTTTACATGTTAATATCTAACTGAAATAGTTAATTTTACCAAACACTTTTTTACAAACCGCTAACACAATCAGCTGGTCAAAACAGCTCATACAATCCGCTGGTCAAAACAGTTAATGCAATCAACTAACAACTGATTACCAAACAAGGTCGAAGAGTGAATATGAAAAGAGTATTTATTAGTTAGATAAGATTAATAATGGAAAAATATGTACAAAAGATCCAAAACATCATTTATTTGGTTAATTGTTGATAAATTTAAAATGACATTTAAAAAAAATGAGAGGTAGTATTAATTTTTATATTTGATTCTGATTCCTTAAAGGAGTTGGTGACCAAATATGAATATAATTAAGGGTATTTAATCTTATAATAATAATAGTTGGTAACATTTTTTTAAATCGTGTTTAATTCCACATTTTGTTGTTAACTGTAGTGATACAAGAATTACAGTACTAATTATTTCACCGTTATTGTAGTTGATTAATAGATTTTTCTTTGGATATTCTGGATGTAGGTACCTTTTGATAATTGCAATTAATAATAAAGATGTAACTACTTTTTACGATTTAAAATAATGTAGAAACGAGAAATCTATTGAACCACATATACATTGCTAACTTAAAATTAAAACAATAAGCAACAATAAGCAAACGCAACATATATTACAAAATATTCAAAATCTGATTTAAAATAAAAATAAACTGATTTGTTTTGTTATGTATATATATAGTTTATATACATGGTCTATTCATCATATAATAAATGAAATCATCACAGACGTATCCACAAAAATGGATAGAGTCCAATCTATTAGGCCCAATAAGTTTTGGGCCTTCGTTGTAAGTCATTCAGTCACAGGCCAAGAAACTGACCAACTCTTTATCTATAAAATTTATTTATTTGCTTGCTCACTCGCATTTTGGATTTTCAGGTTCGATAATCCACCAGCTAGCCGTCGTCCGCCATTTCGAGATAGGTCTCCGGCCAAGCTCTCCGTTCGCCGCCGCGAGTACCGCGTGAAGCAAAACCATCTTTCTCGGTAAACTCTCGGCTCCACCCTCTACCCCAAAAAACGATGTATTGTCCTTGTTCATTCGTCATTTTCGCTTCACATTTCACCATTTTTAGTTCAGTGATGGGTAATGAGTACTGATTTTCAAGAATGTCTATAGAGAAAACCTCCGTATTTCAGGTGATTGTTGATGGAATTGTGGGCTATTTTGAGTGTGAATGGTGCTGATGGAAATGTTGAAGGGAAAGGAATTTAGGGTTTTTTGTTGCCATTGTGTTTGGTTACGAAATTCATATTTTTTTGGTTATATGATTGCTAAAATTACCCCCTTTTGAATAATTCTTGAATCGATTTACTGGACAAATTTGCGTGCCATCATACTTTGAACAAATAGCAAACTTTGATCTTTTAGCAGCCATGGTCAACGCCTATGAAATTCATCTTTTTTAGTTATTTGACTGTTTAAATTGCCATTTTGAGTCATTCTTGAATCCATTTACTCAATAAATTTGTGTGTAATCATAATTTGAACAAACAGGGAACTTTGATCCTTTTTAGCAGCCATGGTCCAATGCCAATAAAAATTCATCATTTTTAGTTAGTTAGACTGTTCCAATCGCCCCATTTCGAGTCATTCAAGATTCGTTTCAATCCAGAAATTTGCGTGCAATCATAAATTTGAACAAGTAGGAAACTTTGTTCTTTTCGCAGCCATGATCGACCCCTGGTGGCCCATACTTGGGGCAGCTGCCCCAGTCTTGATCGCCGGCCAAGCCTTCAGAATTAAGGCGAGGCATGCCGAGGGGCAGCGGATCAAAACCGCCCGTGGTCGGGAGAAAACCGCAGACGACATATTTGTGTGCGAAAGAGTCTGCACTTCCAAAAGGATGCTCAAGAAAGTGGGGGCCTTTTCCAAAGACCCGATTCCCGACACTTGTGTCACTGTGTGTGGGGTTTCGGAACTTGATGCCTGTGCTGATGCGTGTGCACGAACGGTATGTGTGAACCAGCATCAAGTGCCCAACTGGAATGATGTTTGTCTGAGGAGGTGTCAGAGTGAATGTCTTAAACTATCCGCATCACGGTCTTCGTGAGTCCTTTGCCTTTGAGTTTTGAGTATCTCATTTTCGAAAAAGAAGGTGAATTTGTACAATGGGTACCGTGTTAGGCCTCCTCTAGTTTCTCTTGGGAGACTGTTTAGAATTGGTGATCGTTGGCTTCTTAGATGTGTCGAGTAGTTGTTTGATCAATGTATTTCCCTTTTTCTTTTTTTTTTTTTTTTNGTTTTCGGGTGGATTGGTTAGTTAACTGTTTGGCTGTTTTGAAAAAAAACAAAAAAACAAAAAAGAGTTGTTGGTGTAAATTCTGTTGTTGTATTTCCTTAATTGTTTGGTATCAGTGTTCTTGTCAAATTTTCTTTCATTTGTTGGTGTCATTGCTTTTGGTTTTGATTTAAAACCAAAGTTGCAGAAAATCGAAATTTTATGCTCGTTTATTCCTCGGCATTGATGGTCGGGATGCATGTGAAAGTTTTGTTCAATGAGCTTTAGGATCTTGGAGAGAGTATCAAGTGATACAGTGTGGTATTCTGTGCTAATAAGTAATACCACTAGCTTCTTGACAGCTTCTTGATGGTGATCTATGGTGAAGCAACTATATTTGGTTTTGTATGTGAGACAAGCGAATATGCTACACATGACATAAATCATAAACAAAACAAATAAATAAATGAATAATACAATGTCAAAAATCTGTAATATAAAGGAAAAAATTCAATCTTCACTAATTATTAAAACATTTTCCCTGAACCCACAGCACCTTCATCTGAGTTCACTGTGACGTTCTCCAAAAACAAATTATGTTTTCCAGGCCGTCTAACCGCATAATTGTGAGGATTATTATAGCCTCTCCAACATAAATTCTGTTGTGAAATGTCTTAAATGGCTATAATGTATGTCACCCCATCATACTTTTTTAAATAAATTTGGATATTTATATTATAAAATATCATACATTTATTTTTGTTATGTATTTTTCAGAGTATGCTACTTCAGTCTGAAAGTAAATTGTTTGTTGAAAAATATAATTGTGTAACAGTTAAGCTTACCTGCATATGATTAACTAACAATTAAATTTGTCTAACAGGAACATTACCTCCAAGATGAAAGTTTTCAATTTTTGAGATTTATGTCACCACCTCTTAGAATTCACAGAAAAGTAAGTGACATCTTCATAAATAAAATAGAGAATTATATGTAAGTTTTAATTTGTATCAAAAGTAAATAGAAAGAGCAACTATACTGCAATTCCTTGCTTTAACTCCTTTAATACTGACATTTCTTATTTAGATAAACATGGTACATCCAATAGTGGATTACATAATCCATGACCAATGACTAAATTACACTTCATATTGGTTATTGGCAGGGTCGGTCGTAGCTGTAGACTTCTTTGCTGGAGGCGGAGTTGTCGGTTTGGTCGTAGGCGGATATTTCGTAGGCTTATGAGAGTTAGGAGAGTTGTTTATAGGAATAGGAGTAGATGGATTTTGAATAGGTTGAGACTTCTTTTCCAGAGTTTTCGCCTTGGTCGTAGGTGGAGATCTCTTAGTGGTAGTCGGCTTATCAGTCAAAGCAGATTTGTTTTTAGGAGTAGATGACTTTTGAATAGATGGAGACTTTTCTACTAGAAGTCGAGAATATTTGTCAATCGGACGCGACTTTTTTGTCGAAGGAATGGTGGGCTTGGTCGTAGATGGAGATTTATCATGTGAAATAGGCTTATGAGCGGTAGGAGAGTTGTATATAGGAGTAGATGGCTTTCGAATAGGCGGAGAGTTCTTATCCGAAGGAATTGTTGGCTTAGTCATAGGTAGAGATTTCTTAGGGGTAGTTGGCGTATCAGTTGTATGAGAGTTGTTTTTAGGAGTAGATGACTTATGAGTAGGTGTAGACTTTTCTCCTAGAAGACGAGAAGACTTGTGAATTGGAGATGAATTGTTTGGCAAAGGAGTAGTCGGCTTGGTCGTAGGTGGAGATTTATTAGGTGTAGTCGGCTTATGAGCGGTAGGAGAGTTGTTTATAGGAGTAGATGGCTTTTGTATAGGTGGAGTCTTCTTTTCTAAAGGAGTTGTCGGCTTGGTCATAGGTAGAGATTTCTTACGAGTAGTCTGCTTATCAGTCGAAGGAGAGTTGTTTTTAGGAGTAGATGACTTTGGAGTTGGTGGGGACTTTTCTGCTAGAAAACGGGAAAACTTATGAACCGGAGGAGATTTGTTTGTTGTAGTCAGAGATTTATTAGGTGTAGTCCGTTTTTGAGCGGTGGGAGAGTTGTTTATAGGAGTAGATGGCTTTCGAATAGGTGGAGATTTCTCTTCTATAGGAGTTGTCGGCTTGGTCGTAGGTAGAGATTTCTTAGGGGTAGTCGGCTTATCAGTCGTAGGGGAGTTGTTTTTAGGAGTAGATGGCTTTTGAATAAGTAGAGGCTTTTCTGCTAGAAAACGGGAGAACTTGTGAACAGGAGGAGACTTGTTTGTCGTAGGTGGAGATTTGTTAGGTGCAGACGGTTTTAGAGCGATAGGAGAGTTGTTTATAGGAGTAGATGGCTTTTGATTAGGTGGAGACTTCTTTTCCAAACGTGTCGTTGGCGGAGATTTCTCAGTCGTAGCCAGTTTATGAGCGGTAGGAGAGTTTTTTATAGGCATTGAGGACTTTTCATGATGTAGCTAATCATACCTTTGATTTTATCCCGTTCACTTTTGGGGTTAGTGAGCTTTGTATAATCACTTATCCCAAGATTTATGGGTGATGCCACATTTTTACACATACTTATTTCATGCATGCACGGAGATAGAATCCATAATAATGAGTTGTGATTTAGTCACTCAAATTTAGGACATTATGTTGGTAATTCAATTACCAATTATGAGTTTCTTATATCGATCTTCGAATCCATGATGAATGTTCAATATGACATACTAAAAAATCATATTGTTTTTCTTCTCTCCTAAACATATGTTACTATGTACCAAATATAAAAATAATTAAGAAAATAAATGTGGGAGAATGCCCTTAATTACACACTTAAATAGTAAAAAAAAAACTTTGTATGGCGTCAGAAGATACCAAATGATACGAAACTTGTTTATCATTTCATGTTGGACACTCACGAGGCCACATTAGATTATTATCGGAGAAAAGACATAACTAACACCATTAAACACAAAGATTCCATTAAATGTACTAGTCACATAGATTTCCGAAAATACTCCAAATTAAATAACTACCTCATATGTAAATAAATAAATAAATAAAACCACCTAATTAAAAATTATTATTTATTTTCTTTATCATTATTCCTTCTCTCTCTTCTTCCTTCTCTCTTTTTATCTTTCCCACGTACTATCTTTTCTTCTTCCCCTTCTCTTCTCATGTTCTTCTTCTCCAAAAATTTGTTCTTCTTCTTCTCTTCCAAACATGAATACCTAAGAAAAAAACACCAAAAAAATATAATAGAAGTAAAAAAATTAATCATTGATTATATATATACATAACAATTAAATTAAATTAACTGAAAAACAACAAAATGTTTGTTATTATGACTTTAAAAGATTAATGATATATATTACGAAAACAACAAAATAATAAGAAAACAACAATAAAACATATGACAATCAACATGAAAACAACAATCTACATAAAAGTAACATCAAAACAACATTATAACATATGTAAAATAACATAAAAGTAACTTTATATTTACAATAAAATATGAACACACAACTCCTTTATATAAACACATGTATATATAAATCATCATTTTTTTACACACATGGGGCAAACCTTAGTCGGGAGCGGCTCCAACCTTAGTAGTAAAAGATACTTTGAATTTAAAAAACAAAAAAATAAAATAAAATAAAATAATCAACCAAATGAATTGAAGAACAAGAATCAAGACAACTTAGGCTACAAACAGTATCAGCCGATTCAGCAGAATAGTACCATCCACAATATTTCAAACACTAAACACAAGACGAGCCGCGTTGCAATAGATCAACGATGTTACAGATTACAGAAATCTGTAAAAACAAAAATAGAAATCAGTAAACAGAGGATAGCAGCAGAAATACCAGATCGGATACGGAGCACCACTAACTTGAGAAAATTCGATTAGGAAAGATGACGAGTGAGTTCTGGCCGTCCGATTTCAATCCGAAGATTTCTAGCTAGAAAATTAACCCAATTGTCAGAAACGGCAGCGCGGTTAGAAATCTTGTCATCCAAGCCATCTCTTATTCTTCTTCTTTACTTTCGTTCTGAATTCATTCTAAAATCGAGAATTTCGAGTAATCTTATTCGATTTTTTAGGGTGCTTAAAACCCGTAATAGAAAGAAAAAATGGACGCCTAAGAAGAAAGAGGAAGAATATGAAAACCAGAAAGGATTTTGGACAGTTTTATTTTTCCTATAAAATTGGTAGATATTATGAAAAGTTGGGACGGTTAAAAAAAATAAAATCAAATAAAATAAATAACCACCATATTTTTTAAAACCTAAAAGCGTCTAAAGAAAAAGGTGTAATTGAAAACAGAATGAGTAATTTTGTCTAAATAATAACTTGAGGTAATTATTTAAACTATTTAAATAAAAGGACAGAGAGTGTCATTTATTCATTATTATCATGTCACATCATATCTGAAGGTCCAAAAAAAGAACGTTTGGACCATTTGTGGTCAAAGAAATACCAACATGGACTGAATTTATGAACATGTTAATGGAACATTTTCGAATATGTTTTTTTAATAGTGAATTTGATATGATAATTAAAAATATTTAATTTTAAAAAAATAATAATTACAGATGTCATTTTGATAAAGAGTAAATAGTCTTATTTAAATAGATACATATTTAGAAAGTTATGACATTTAATAAAAATAATAATAATGTTTTCTATTTTATTTATTAATAGGTATAAATATTTAATGAATGCTACTAATAAAAATAATAAAATGCTTATTGTGCAAAATTTCCTTTATTCACTCCAAATAAAACAAAAGAAGATGAAGGGACATGAATCATTCGGTTTTGTAACAAACAGAATGCCAAGAATTGGAATTGTAGTTGACTAAATTAGAAAAATTAATGGTGGGAAATGACCGTCCAGCCGTCTTAGCTCAGTCGGTAGAGCGCATGGCTTTTAACCATGTGGCCGTGGGTTCGAGTCCCACAGACGGCGTATCTTGCTATTTTCCCATGTGGTACTTATTTTGCTCAAATCAAACTAGTTATGCCAAAAAACATGCAACAATTCACTCAAATCACGTTTATTCTATTCTATCGCTCCAAATAATCTACGGAAAAAATTTTAAACTGAAAGTAAGCAATGCCACAAATTTTAGGAAATTCATGTGTGTATATATAAACTTTTTGCGTCCAACCCGTTATTATATTCTTGTTTTTAATTTGTGAAAAATATAACTACATCAATAGCTAACGGATATCACTTGTTGGGAAAACAGAGGCAGAGCTCAGTCACTTGGAATATAGAATGAAATTGGGAACAGTCTCTGAGAATCATCACATATCAATAGCTTTAGCACTATACAATGCAAAGGAAGAAATTAAGGAATGCCTGCAGCTAAATAGACAAATAGTTATCCTAAATAAAGAGTAGATATTTCTACAAAAAGAAAAAAAAGTTAAATCAAAACACATGTACAGAACTAGCATAAAAAAATGGCTGCATAAATTACAAGGATCTTCCGACTCAGATAACGAGTCATGATTCACCAAACTGCCTCTCCATGATGATCTGCCCGAGTTTTGTGTACAGTGCCCGTTGTTCCTCAAACGTAAGGTTCATCAATATCTAAAAGTGGAAAA